ACTTATGCAGACATTCAGTCTATAGTATCCCCCTCTGCTGAATCCTCTGCCCATAGAGATGAGGAAACTTGGACAAGGTTCCTGCTCCACATGGTGTTCTCTTGAGTACATTCAGCTCTGAGTTACACTGAGTGACTCGGAGGAAGTCCAGTGTCTGAGCTTCCTTGGGGACAGTTTGTATTGACTGTTTTCTTTTTTGTGAATCAGGATACTTTCCTGCTTCTTTGCATGTCTTGATTTTCTAGATAAAACTGGACATTAGAAAATATAATGTGGGAACTCAGGAAATCAGATTATCTCCTCTCTTCAAGATTTGGTTGTTGGTACTGTTCGTTTAGTGACTTTCTTGAATGAATTCTTTAAAGTCTATATTTCCTATTATGTATGGCCACTGAAGTCTCCTGAGTTAGAGGTCAGCTAGCAATTGGGCAGACATTTGCATAAATGCCTTGACACAATGCCTTTCACCTTTTGCTGAGGGTCTTTGTGTGTGTGATGTGGCATACTGCCAACTCTAGGCAGGCAGTTTATAACTCTGCCTTAGCCCTCACTTCCTGCATGCACAGAGACTCAAGTTCAGCCAAGGGTTGACATTTGGGGCTTCTCAGGTCTTTCCTGGGCATGTGCACAGCCCTGCATGGGCATGTGATGTGGAATATACTATAAAGATATGTACCTCACAGGGCCTGGTTTTCAGAAACCTTGCAGTTTCAAATATTGACCTTGTGGAGGACTGGAAATTTTCCCCAGGCTATTTGGTCTCTGTTGCAAGATAAGAATTGTGGCACAGCAAGGTTGCTGGCTCAAAGACAGATTAGTTACTGATTGACATCTAAGTTGCTGGAAAACTGTACAGCAAGAAGGAATGTTTGCTAAGATCAAGCTTGTGTTGCTAGGACCACTTAATTGTCTACTGGGATGTCATCTGGCTTGTTTCACTGAAAGTTACCAACCTATATTGTTAAACTTTAATCCCACCTATATTGTTAAACTTACTGGTCTGGAAAATAAATGCAGGAAGAGAACCCCAATTCGGGGTTAACTTCCCAAGGAAGGGATGCCTTTTGCTGGAGGGTCCCAGGAAGATTAACCACTTCGGGGCCTCTCACTGCTCAGAAGAGATGGGCTTTGAGTAATCCTTTGCATCTCCTTCACCCAGGGGAAGAGGGGTGACAAATCCATGGGGGACGAAGCAACAAAAAGTAACAATGTGATCTTTTAGCTGTCAGACCTTCTCAAAGAGGACATCTTCCTCTTAAGTTTTTTTCAACCTCCTGTTTGTCCCAGCCGTCTCAACCAGCTCTGATGTTGCACAAGTGCAATGATTGCTCTTAGCCAATGCCCCGGGAATAGGGTTTTTTGCATACAGTGAGTTGTCAGTCAGGTCACATAATGACAAGCCCTGTTAATGGAGTGTCCCAGGGAGCTCCAGACACGTCAAATAGTGACAGTTTTGGGGGCATGGGGCCCTTTGAGTACCTTCAAATGCACAGTGCCCCCTCTGCACTAGGCTAGGCTGCTGGTTTTCCAGCCTATCATGATTGTGCAGTTGCTTGTTTTTGAGGCTGCCCCAGAGTTGGGTGGTAGGTGATGGGAATGGGACAAGTTAACATGCCATAAAACTCACAGTCCTTACTGAGATTCAGCTAGTTTTCTTGAACAAGTGCTCCTGAGGTTGATGTAAGGTTTAATTTTCACAGTTCTGACTAATTGTTGACAATTTTTTCACATATTCACATTGGTTCTATAAGGAGCAGATTTCTAGGCTTCCTTACTACAGTATTCCAGAAGGCCTGACTCCAGAGTGGCCCTCTTATTGATTTATTTATTTTTACAGTGAAGTGCTTCTGAGTATGAGTATTTTCTTTCTTTTTTAAAATTTAATTAATTAATGTTTTTTTTATTATTATTATTTTACATTTCAAGATGTTGTTGTGGAGTAATGGGAGGAGGGGAGGAGGATGGGGACAGAGGTGGGGGGTGGGGCTGGCCCACAGATGGCTCCTTCGCTGGGCTGGTTGTGGAGGGTAGGGGGCATGACTGTGGTCTTTGGGCACCCCCCACTCTGGCTTGGAAGGCTGGCAGTGGTTTCCAGTGGTGGCTCATTTGTTGCTGGGCTGGATGTGAATGTTGGGGTGTGTAGTGTGATCCTGCTCACCCTGGCTCAAGGTGCTTGGAGACTTCCGGAGGTGGGTAGGTCATTGCCAGGCTGGATGCAGACGTCGGAGGGGCATGGCTGAGGCCCTCGCAGAATGGCCCTTTTAAAATGGAATTCATATTAAGTTACTTCTATGCTCACAACCCTCCAATGGCCCGCAGATTGCTGAGAGCCAAAGCTAAAGTCCACGTCGTGGGCTGCCCCTGCCTCTTACCTCTCTGACCCCTCTCTATGATTTTTCTGGCTCCTTCAGCCAGGGGAGGCTCCCGGGTTTTCCCACAAACACTCCAGGCCTGTGACCCTGGCTGTGTCTTCTGCCTGTTTGCTCACCTCCATGAAGCCCTCCAACGTCGCCTTTTCAGTGAGACCCTCCTCATCCATGCTACTTAAAACACGGTAATGTTCACTTTTCGTCCCTATGACCCTGTTCCCCACCCCCACCACCAAATCACTGATCACTTTCTGACATTCTATGTAATAAACTTGTTTATGATGCTGATCTGTGTCCCCTCTGAGCAGGGAGTTTTGCGTGTTCTCTGCAGTGAAGTCTCCCAGTGCAGCCTGTTGTCAGTGCTCAGGAAGTACTTACCGTGCACACATAAGTGAAAGAAAGTGACTTGGGGCAAAGGCCCTTTCCCGTGCATGGGTTCACTACATTTCAGACTGTAACTTAGGTTATGGTGAGTGCAGTGTTTTCTGGGCACAATGAATTATGCTGTACTGTGCAGACGAAAAGTAGAATAAAGTGATGTTAGGAGGGGGAATAAGAATGTTCACGTGGCAGCTGGAAAGAGTGAGGAAAAAACCTGATCAGGAAAGGGGCAAGGTCTGCTTGGCTTTAGATAATCTAGTGGAGAAATGCAGCCATCTGCAGCAAAGGGCCTGGTCATTTTACATTGCTCTGCAAGTTGTGGCTGTGGTGGGTCACCCGTGTGGAAGTGGTATTTTCTGCATGCTCCTTGCCTGCCCTTGGCTCCTGCGTAAGACCCTGGGTGGCTCCTGGGCCCAGAAGGGAGAGTTCCTGCTAAGCACACTGTCTGGGGTTTCTCAGCTGCATCTTCAGCCTCCAGATAGGAAACACCTGTTTGCCCAAGTGACTGAGGAAATCCTGGATTAGCATTCCTGGGGTGACCCCTTCCTGGACCCCTCCATCTTAGAACTGACTCTTACTAAGGGTCGTGTATTTCCCTCCATGACCGACGCCTGCCCCATGAAGCCCACATCAACTTCCTTCCTCCTTTACCACATCACAGGCCGTGCTGGCTCAGGACTCAAGCTGGTCATGAGTGGGTCTGCCCCTTACTCAGGTCCTCATACCCCCTGATGGGAGGGCCTAAAGGTCCCAGGGGGAGCCCTGTCAAAAGAGAGGTGCCCGAACCCTGGTTCCTCTGGCCTTTGGTAGGGTTTCAGGGAAACATCCTTCTTTCCCCTTCTCCTTCAGCCTCCCCTCACCTGGT